GTTTTCCAAACAATTACCTTTCTCGCATCTCAGTTCGCCCCCGAGACCTCATCAACTTCGCAGCAGATTAATGGACCTCCGATCACCGTCCAAGCAATTATGCAGTCCTCTAGGATCCTTTCGAGTATACCCCGTGGGATATCCCCAGAAACTTTTTTAACAAATGTCGGGCCAAAGCTTCTGTCCCTTCTTGATGGAGATGATATGGATCTAAGAAAGACAGCATCGTACATAATAGGAAATGGCATCTTACCAAAGCGCCCTATTGGTGCCCCTGGTACGATCGGCTTTGAAATGTTTGTTAAGCCTATCTTTGACGCATTTCATGGAAAAGCCGACGATACATCCACCCTGTGGCTACGCAAGTTCAATCGGGATGGTTCGCCAGCTTCCGAGGGAAATGGCAGCCATACAAACGGCCGCGCCACCGTCAATACCCACCAGCTGTCCCTGGCTTTATTTCGCCTGACATCCTTGGTCGTTCTACATCCTAACCCCGCTCTACTCAAGCGCTTAATCGGACCTATAATGCTTCCTCTATGGGGACTACATTGGCACGCAAAGTCTCTCAAAAATCATAAGTGGGCTGACCATACATTCGTGCTCTTACAGAATTTTTTCAGTATTTCTTCTGCCAAATCCAGATTTGAACGCTTAGTCGAATACATGATGTGGGATGGCGAGGAAACGTGGACCTACAAGCATTCTCTAAGCCATGATATATTTGTAGGGAAGCGCGAGCCCCCAAACCTGGAGCATACTGATATAATGCAAGTCATTGAGAACGTCGATCAACGGGCTGATTTACTTGTCACTTTTCTCGGAGTCGATCCGCAGCGAGAAACGCATATTGGAGACATTTTTCTTCTGGTTACAAGCAAATGGCTCCTTGGAGGAAGAGGAACCTCCGAGAGCCAACCATTGATATCCCCAGATGATATACACCTAGGTCTACAAAAAGTGGTGTATACCAAGATTGCTGAAAAGATCATCAGCCAATTTCAGGATATTCTATGTCGTCGATTGGATCAAATAGTGAAACTGGTCAATCAACTTATTGACCACGAAATACATCTGGTTACGAATAGGGACAAGAAAGAAACTGCTAAACCTTCTTTAGAGTCACTAGGAAACATCTCCAGAAATCATGACAATGGATATGATGTTCATCCTTCAGACTCTGCTGAATCACCGGAGCCACTGTCCGCTGCGCTCAGCTTACTTTCTACACTGCTGCTATCTTCAGATTTGAACCCCGGCGCTGAAATACGAACATTACTATCAGAGACAAAGCTGAAAATAGATCGAGTGCTGCCTTTCGTTTCTCAGGCGGTTAAGCACCCAGCAACGGCATTATTAATTCACATAGAGTTTATCATCGGTGGATATCTATCCCACGAAAAGAGAGAATGTGTCTCTGTGGTTAATCAGCAGCACATCAGTGATTTGGAGATACACCGACAAGCTCTTGCAAACTTGAACTCACCGTTACCTCCAGTCCAAGCCGAAGGACTTTCCATACTATCCGGATTGATAAAGAAGTCTTCGCCAGTTCTTGACATTCCGGCTACTCTCACTCTTCTAATATCTTTAATTACCCGAGGTGAGGAAAATCGGAAAGATGACGAGTTTGTCTACCTAAACGTGATCTCTCATATCGGTGTTCTTGCCCCAAAGCATCCACGCACGGTTATAAAAACCCTGTCTGAGAGATATAGGGATAGTAGTGAAGAGGCTTCCTTGGACGAGAGGCTACGCATCGGTGAAGCTATTCTCAGGGCTGTCGAGGAAATAGGAGGTGCTCTAGTAGGCGAAACAGCTACGACCTTAGGCGATACAATGGTAGAGGTGGCTAGCAGGCGGGGAAAAAAACCAAAGGCTAAGGAGAAAAGGTTAGCAGACGCGAAACGTGAAACATTGGAAAGAGGCAAAACCGATGATGCAGAAGACCTAGAAGCCAAAGCTGTCAATATCATAAACCAATTGGACCAAGACACAGACTCAGAGCCGGAAGACCCAGGGAAATCCGCCTATTTGAATAAAATTCTCCAAGCATGGACTTCAGGGGCAGCCTCAGATGAGCAACCAGATGATCTACGTGCTCGCGCATCGGCCATATCCATCCTCGCATCTGCCATTCAGACAAATATTGCTGGTATAGGACAGCGAATAGTTTCCACCTCCATGGACATGGCACTTTCTACACTGACGCTAGAAACAGGGCCTGAAAACGCAATCATCCGCCGTGCGTCTACTATACTAATGCTTGACATCACAAAGGCATTAGACAACGCCATGGAGCAAGGTATAGACTTGGGGTTCAGCTTTTCGCATACTACTTCCACCTACAGTCTTTCTCCTATTAACGTGAACACGGTTGGAAATATTCCAGATATCCTCCATGTACTAGCCTTTGTGGAGAGCAAAGAAACCGATGTTCTTGTCCGCGGCCATGTACGAGCATTAACCGAGAGTTTGGAGGCATGGACTGAAAAAGCGATCCTGCGTGGTGTTGGAGCCAGTGCTCAGCCTCGATTTGAACTTGGTGATAGCCTTGCTGGGCTGAATATTACGCCTGTTGCTGGTGCATCGGGTCCTAGGGGCCGTCCAGGAATTGAGGAAATTGAGTAATGTAAAATTACACAAGGCCGCTTTACAGATTATGGTCATCGGAACAGTGAATATTGAATGTCATTAATCTCAAATAATTTTTTTTTTTTTTTTTTTTTTTTTTTTTTTTTTTTTTTTTTTTTTTTTTTTTTTTTTCAGTTCCATTTCAACTAACTACCTGATTCCATGCACCCGATTTTTCTCCTTTTCTTCTTCTCTCCCTTTTTTTTTTTTTTTTTTTCTTGCTTAACTAAAAAATACAATATGGGAACTGCTTATCCACCATGAAGACCCGGGTGATTTCCTCTCCATGACTCCGGCGTTGAGTAACATAGCTCATGATATTTATCTGTGCCAATAAAGGTCAAAAAACATGCAATTAACAAAGGAAAATGTGAAATCTGGAGGCTGAAGAGATTCATTGCCGTTTATCACCGTTGGTTGAATTTGATTCCTGGTAACTGATAGAGGTGAAAGCAAGGTGAATAAAAGAATGAAAGCATCAACAGCCAAGGTAATGCAACCAAGTGAAACAAAATGTTCTGCGGTTGAGTCTGTTGCTTGATGCAGAGAACAAAACACCCTCCGGTCTGATTGAGTCTGATAGGACTGAGATCCCAATAGGACTTTAATCGTGTAGAAAAGTCGCCTTAATGGTGGCTTCTAGTATGTCCACCACGGCCACCATGTCCGCTTCTGCCGCGACCGCGACCGCGACCGCCACGATTGCCACGGCTGCCACGGTTGCCACGGTTACCGAGACGGAAGATGCCTCCTTTGTTAGACTCATTTGCCGCCTGTAAAGCCTCATTCTGGGATTGACGTTGTTCATCAGACATGGCAAAGGCGTTCTCAATACCAATTAGTTTGCAGAACTCCTCAGTCTGTGGGTTTGGGTATTCAGGAGGCTGTTCTTGGGTGCTAACTGGAACGGAAGGGTCATATACGGGAGCAGTGATTGTGAAGTTGTATGGAATGGCCATCTTCCCGGCCTTGACAACGTTCTCTTCGATCCACTCCTCAGCCACGATGATGTCAGGTTTATACCCGCCATCACCTTTGTTAGAGGGAACAGAGGTAGATTTGTCACCAACGGTGAATCCTGGATGCAGAGCGCGGGTGATGGCAAGCCATTCTTTATCGTACATCAGCTGGTAAGGACCAGTGTTACCAGCTCCATCGTCCTTGGAGACGGGCTTAACCTCAGTAAGGTGAAGGAAATGACGGCGACCTTCACACTTGTCCAATGCAAGGAATTCAGTGGTAGTATTGGTTATTTCCGCTGGGAGAGTGGATTCAACAATTGGCTTAGGTCCAGACGTAACTGGGAAAGGCTTGGCAAAGCTGGCTGGTAGCTGGCTACGAATGTCATCAGGAACGGAGTCAACATTCTTAGCATCATTAACAGTTGCTCCCTCAGCCTCGGATATCTCAGGCTCAGGCTCAGGTGCCTTTTCGTTGGTAACTTTTTCGAAGGGCTCAATTTCAGCTCCTGCAGGAATATTGGCCTTGGACTCATCGTTCTCAGATCCATCATCCATGTCCAGGTTGATTTCATCGGTATTCTTGACCTGCACAACTTCGGGGGTCTCAACGGCTTTGTCGTCTTCTTTGTCAATGGACGTCGTAATAACGTCTTGGACCTCACGACCAGTTCCATCATCAACACCAACCTTCTTCCACTTCAGCTGGTAGGTAATGTCACTACCAGAAGTGACGTTCCCCACTTCCACTTGCTTGTGGTATTTTGCAACCTCTCTCATGAATAGTTCCTGCTCATCTTGCTCAGTAGAAGCAGCAACTTGGTGGAAATCACGCCAAGCGTTTTTCTTTGCGATGTCATCCTGTGCAACCTCCTGTGTTGGACCTAACTTTGGCTCAGAGATGTCCTTAGGACGACCAGAGACAGTATTTGCTTTTTCGACAAGGACAGATGGAGAGGGCACAGGAGGCTTGACGAGAGTTTCTTCAGGTTCGTTGAAGCGGATAAGTACCTGTGGAGGTTGGTATTCCTGGTGGTGCAAAGTGGCAGTATACTTGCAATGCAGATGAGCAGAGAACCAGTGAGCAGGTCTGAGTCTGTCAAGCACCTGCTTGGCTGCAACGTTACCGAGCTTCCCGGTCTCGGAATCCTCCATGAGGTGTTCTTTGATTCTGAAGAGATGGTCATAGTCTCCAGCCCATTCAATGCCACGAGGCCAATCATGGCTAATACCAATGTCGACCTGCGTACGGATCTGCATTAGTTTGCGGACATCGACCTCTCTGATGTGGTATGCTGAGCGTAGCGTGTCACCATCGTAAGGGATTCTCTCATAATGGGGACGGTGATAGTCATAGCCTTTCCAAATACCAGACATGCCCATAATGCGAAGAGGCCCGTAGCGGATCAAGTTGGCTGCTCCCATGTAGTAGATATTTGGAGCAACCCAACCACCATAGTAGAGCTCGAACATATGGTTGCTGGCCTCATGGTTGCCTCCGACAAAGATAGTGAGGATAGGGGCAACGCGAGCACCGCTGTAGTATTCATGGAAGTCTCCAATCTCCCTATACTTGTTTGAAACTGCCATGCAAGTAAGGTCATTGGAGTTTCTCACAGCCTATGATATACCAGAGTAAGCATGACGTTAACTACTATTAGGGACACAGCCACACACAGATCGGCTGATATAGTAGAGAAACACGTAGATAGAGTCTTACCTGGAAGTCACCCCCAATAATAAGTAGGTCAACGCTATTCCATCCGCGGGCCTCAGCTGAAGCCTGGACAGCCGCGTAGATATCATGCAGTTTTCCATGCCCCTAGTTAACTGAGAGTTAGCAGATGATGCTGTTTCTGTGTATCTAAGATATAATATAATTGACAAGCAACCTAGGAAAAAGGGAAGCATACGCATCCTTCAACAGCCACTCTAAGCGGGCGGCGTGTCTCTGGTATCTCTGGTATTGCTACTGCGTCTGCCATGTTTGAGGTATCTCGTATGCAGAAGCGGCGTAGCAGATTCACGGCTATCCAGTGTGGTTGTTAGTATACAACTGTTTGAGACCAGTTGCTTGTGAAGAGGAAAAGGAAAAAGAGAAGGAAGAAAAAAAAAGGGAGTAGAAAAGGAAGAGGACAGGAACAGGAAGAGTGAAAGAAAAGAAAGTGAACGCGCGTCTCTTCACTTTGTTTTGTGTGTTGTCTTCGCTTCACTTTTTCACCCTTTATGTGTTGCTAGGGAAGTTGATGTTGTTTTTGCCTTTTTGGGATTGAAAAAGCACTTTTTTCTGATGATTTTTATATCTTCGACTTTTCTTCCACCAACAACTCTAGACTGCATCTGTATATATAACTACTCTGCACGATAATACGAGACCGAAAATACTCATAGATACCTGCTTGTCCTCGCTCCTTGTGTTTGGCTTCTTTTTGTCCAAGGACATGTCTCAGCCGGTATCCGCAAGACTGGTTTTCTTGAAGGCATCTGCCCGTCTGCTCAGCCAGCAGAGCCCTTCGACTTCAGCACATCTGGTAACGATGCATAATAGCATATTGCTCCAGGATAAGTCGTCTCGTCTCCCCATCAAAGACCAGATGGAAGCCTGTCCATCGTGTGGGAGCGTGCGGATTCCGGGGGTGAACAGCAGAGTCTTCACCAGAACTCAGACCCCTCCCAAAGCTGCTCGAAGTGTGCATAAGTCACGGCCAAAAGAGCCATCCCAGGGCGCGAGTCAGGGTCAATCGGAGCAGAAATGTCTCATATACGAGTGTCTACGGTGTAGGCATGAAGTGGTCCAACGCATCCCGCAACCTGCAAGAACCATCCAGAGGAAGAGGAAGTCTTCAACCGTGGCCGCAACCTCATCCTCAACCAGCCAAGAAATATCTCTAAGAGCTACTAAGGATCATGCTGAAAGGCTAGAGTCTGGATCTGCGACCTCAAAGACAGATTCCGAGAATTCCAGCAGCAAAAAACGAGCAAAGATGCGAAAGCAGAAGGGCCTGTTGGCCAGCCTGGCCACTCAGAAGCAGACCAAGCCCTCTAGCTCACTAAATCTTTTGGATTTCCTTCAATCGTCGTAGTTGGAGGCGTGTTACATCACTAGAAGCGAGAAGTTATCGGCTTCAGTTTGCGCATACCGCAGATGCTACTTGGTTATAACCAACTTCGCCCTTGCGGTCGTTAACGCCATTTAGAGGCGATTTACTGAGAGCTACAGTCACAACGACCCGGACATGGTCAAACTAAGACTACAGAGTACGTTTTATTCCATTCAAAATATCCCTCTTTCTGACCGTCAAGGCCCCAAACTAAGTACTTTTTTCACTGAGCAGCAGCGCTAGCTTTGCCTCCCGGCGGCGTATGCTATTATAGTGGGCTGTCGGGGAAAGAGCAATGGGCTTCGGATAGCAGCATAATATCAAAAGTGACAAGAACAAGTCTCTCTCTGTCTGTGTTTATCCTCCGACTGCTATATATCGCCCCCGTCCTGAGTCTAGGTCAACGCCGTCCGCTCTCATTTTCAGGATCTCCGACTTTGTCTCAACCTTCTTTGAGGCTCAAAAAGATCGAAATAAACTCAAGATTTTTCCTTTTGTGGGTCACCGAAAGATTACTCAGGAAGTTAAAAATATTCATGACATATAATTTTTTTTTGTCATCGAAATAAGCGACAGACAAGACATATAAAGCAGACATTTTGGCCCCAGGTTTACCGGTTGACACTCTAGAGTAAAAAACTGTGTTGACTTGACTTCGGCTATTTTTTTTTCCTGACTACCACGAGAACCAAACACACCAAAGCGACCCCTCCACGATAAGGGCAAAGATGGCCAGCGGGGATAACAACGCCGTGCCCCGCGCTGACGAAGAGACCATGAAGGTCGTTCAGAATGACGATGACCTGGGGCTTGTCGATGTAGAGAGCATGTGTATGAACTGCCATGACAATGTAAGTGGCCAGATTGTTGCCTATCTTCGTTGGGAAATTGTATTTCTAACCAGCGAAACCGCGTTTACAGGGTTCTACCAAATTCCTCCTGATCAAGATCCCCTTCTTCCGCGACGTCCTCCTTGAATCATTCGAGTGTCCTCACTGCGGCTACAAGAATAATTCTATCAAAGCTGCCGGCGAGATCCAGGAGCATGGCACGAAGTACACCCTGGAGATCCATGACAAACGCGACTTTGACCGCCAGGTCGTCAAGGGTGATAGCTCGGTCTTCCGCCTCGAAACTCTCGGAATAGAAATGCCAACTGGTGAGGGACAGCTTACCAATATCGAAGGTCTCCTCACCAAGATCCAGACCCAGCTCGAAAGCGAACAACCACTGCGCAAAACCGCCGACCCGGCCACCTACCAGGCGCTCGATGAAATCCTCCAGAAGCTTGCTAAGATGATCAACGGTGAATCGTTCCCATTCACAGTGACCTTGGAAGATACCACTGGCAACTCTTGGATCGCTCCTGCACCTTACGATGAGGGTACCAGATACAAGCGAAAGGAATTCCAGCGTACCAAGGAACAGAATGAGGCCCTCGGCATTGGCATCGGCGAAGAGGATCAGGCCGGTCAGGTTTCGGGGGACCCTAACGACCTTGACATTGTCGACGGAGATGTGTACTCTCTCCCAACCCACTGTCCTGGCTGCGCGAAAGCTTGTGTTGTCAACATGCAGAAGGTTAGCATCCCTTATTCAA